GGAGAGGTGTTTATTAAGAAGGCAGTAAAGTGCTTGACTCCTCTGATCGGTACCCTACCATCTCTGCCTTGCAAGTGTCCATTCCCTTGGTAACTGAAAAACCGCCTGAACAGAAGAAGAAATAACATCAGAGCCAGAAAATCTTCAGCTCACACCCAGCAGGCTGCTCTTCTGCCAGGGCAGGATTTTTCCTTCATGTTCCTTTTTCCATTGCTTGTTTTTAATTTAGTTCTCAACAGCTCATGCAGTAATCTCCCACCTTCCATTTGGTCACTGATATTTTCAGCCTATCCCCTTGTCCTCAGGAGTTATTGCTTGCTGAAGCCAGACAGATTTAGCTCTTCTAATCTTTCCTGGTGAGTCAGTGCCTCTGGCTCCTGAACTCCTATGTATCTCTTACATTTATGTGCTATGGAAGTACCCTCTCTTTTGTTGAGGTGTTCCTGGAAAAAGGACGCACAGAGTCAAATTTGATGTCTGTGTAAAGACGTCTCTAATGGTGGGTGTGAAGGGCTTTCTTCAGGGATTAGGAAGCACAGACCTTAGCGAGACACGGTGATCCTTTCACTGGTACTTTCCCAGGTCCTTGCAATCTGTAGTTTAGGATTTCTGGACTGTTCGTACTGTTGTACTAGACACAGTGGAGCTGCCGTCTATGGAATTGTCTGATCTCTCCAATCCCTTTTATCCATTTTAGTTCCACAGTATTTAGTGGTAAGAAATTTTGTAATTTACTTGTGCTTTACATTAAAAAGCATTTTTTAAGCCTGCTGCTGAAATTTCATTGGGTATCCCTAATTCCTTTGTTGTTACAAACAGGGAGTAATCATTTCCTATGAAGTTATTAATGGCATGAAAAGATAAAAAGATGTCTATCCCTTCCCCTCCCCTAGGAGCCTAGGAGGCTCCTAGCCTCCCCTCATATGGGACTATTAACATTTTTACTGTCAGTGATTTGGAATAAGATCAGGCCCGATGCAGTCCTCGGCAGAACCCTACTTGTTCTTCACGAATGACTAGTGCTTGGCCTCTGCTAGTTCTTAGCTTGTATAATATACACCTAAAACCAGCATCATACGACATCAGTAAGAATGTCTTGTGATAACAAGTTTCATGCTTTACAAAAGTCTGCTTATTAAATCTTTACTATTACTTTATCAGCCAAGTTTGAGTCTTGTCAAAGAATGAAATAGAGGCGTGTTTGTTTCTTGAGAGATGTAATTTTCATAAAATTCAGCTGTTTGGCATGAGTGCTATTTCTGCGTGCCTGGTAAGAGGCATGCATGTTCTTCAGTTGCTTTTCTGGAATTGGTGCTAGGATGATGAGCTGATAGTTACAGGCATCCTCCTGTGTAATCTCTTAGTCTAACAGCACAATGTAAATGCTATTTCAGGTATCAAGATTCCAGAATTTTAGAAATGCTCTATAAGCATATTAGAGATCTCAGTCAGTTGTTAGGACCCTTGGGTACAAGTTATCCAGTCCTTTTGACTTTTAAAATGGTTGTTCCTTATTGATGATATTAAATGGATTCCTCAGCTGCTGTTGGAGTGAAGTGTGATCCATCACCTTCATGTGACGCGTGTACATCATGCTTCCGTCCAAATACGAATCAGAAGTATTTATTGCCTGTTTGCATTTTCTGTGTCATTGTTGACAATCCAGTCTCATTTGAAGTTTCAAGTGATGTAAATGCAGGGATTAGACACTTACATGCTTCCAGATGTATAGCACGTTATAAAAAGATGCCTGTGCATGCAGAAACTTGCTGCCTTCTGGAAGTAAAGCCCTTAAACCCCCACTCCCTTGGGTATTTCTGGAGGAACAGCTTGGTCTTTCAGCAGGTTCTGAAGTACAACAGCTCCATGCTTTGGCAGTTGAATCCTGTGAATGTCTAGTTTGCTGCCTCTGTGTCTGCTGTGCCCCTGCCAAGACCAAGTTGCAGAAATCCTCAGCTAGCAGTTGGAAGGCACCGCATTGAATACTGTTTCAAGTCTGTTGGGTAATACTCAGATATCCCTGGCTGCTGCTGAAAAGTAAGCCTGTCCATGTGTGCAATGTTTCTAGTTTCTCCAGAATGGTATGCATTTACTTACTGCAAGTTGGAAAATCTCACGGGATCAAGTGAATCTGTTAAAAGATAGCTATATTAAAAATGTATGAAAAACAGGTTGAGATGGAATCAGTCCTTGTTTGAGTGTGTTCCCTGGAGACGTACAGGCAGAAACACAGGTGGACTGAGGGGGATAGAGGAGAGGGGAGGGAGGTATAACTGCTCCCTCAGCTTGTGCTTTGGTGCCGTCGATGATAAATGGGTTTCCCCCTAGTCTCCAGTGGGAGTTCAGGGAGATGAGAACTCTAGGCTGAAGTGGCAACTTTTTTCAGTTTTCCCACTTTTCTCCTTCCGCAGTAGCTCTTTTCTATGGAGGGCGTGGATGCTTGTCTGTCTGGGAGGAACTAGGAAGAAACTCTGGATATGTTGCCCACGTAAAGAAGGCTTGCCCTTTCTGCAAAGGAAGGAGCCAGAACCAGTTGAGCAGCGTGTTCCTAGGTGGGGAGGATCACGGATCAGTTGTTACCTCCGAGATGAGCTATTGCTGGGCGGCAGGTGGATCCCTGGTTCTAGGGGAAAAAACGCAAGAAGAGAAAAATACCCGGAAAAGTCACTGGCAAGAGTGATTGCAGGGGTGGAAGCTGTGCTGTCCCTGCTGTTAGGGCAGCTGTTTGCTGTGTTTCCAGAGCATCAGTCTAGCCATCATGGAAGTCAGGGCAGCTCTGAAGGAGCCTTAGGACAGATGTGCTTTTGGGAAGAAGTAACTTACTGGTTTAGGGCAAAAAGCAGTGGCTGGGCTGTAAGGTGAAATCTTGAATATAAAAGTGAAAGGCCATTGTAGCCTACTGGATCCAGTTCCTCCTTTCTCAAGTTCATATTCATGTCAATTATTCTTTTCATAGACTTCAAACAAACATTCACCAGTTCAGTTTCTTACCACACTGGTTTTATGGGAGAACTAATTTGCTTTGGGAGTTTGAAATCTTCTTTCCAGCCTAAATATGTTTGTCCAATTCAAGCCCATTTGCTGTTGTTCTAGCAGTGTCTTTCAGTTTGATTAGGTCTGGTTCCTCCTTAGTGTTTTGCTTTCTCAGTGTATGTTGACAGACATAAGGTTCTTAACCCTCAGTCCATTTGACTTTTCTGGCACATTTCCCCATACAGTCTGGTTTCTATGAATTTGTGAAATCCATGGGGTTTGTTTATCTTTCAGTTAGTTTATGCAATCAACTTACTGTGCAACTGAAAGTGACTTTCCATAACCAGTGATGTTCTATATTCCTCGTTCATTGTCAAAAATAGCAATCCTGTCCTGTTGATTCAGGCACTGAGCAAAACCAGCAGCTATCTTACTTGGAAATACCTGGATCCTGTTATTAAAATACTCTCTAGTCCTTGTCTGGAGACCTAGTTTTCCACCGTCTTTAGTAAATTTTGTGTTGAATATAGACGTAAGTCTTTAGAGCATTACTAAAATCCAGTGAGCCTGGAAGAAAAAAGGTGGTATTTGTAGTCAGATCCTAGTGGACTTCTTCACGCAAGAAGCGTTAGTCTAATCTATAACTGTTTTTAAAGTGTGCTATCTCATGACTACCACATTTCTCTGCCTCACCTGAATAATCCTTGTTTTCAATACTTGGATTTTACTCAGTCTCTAGGTCTTGCACGGGAGACAATGTACTTATGGTCTGTCTAGAACCAGGGATTTCCTTGTGAAGATCCCAGCAGCTTTCTGCTACACTCTTGACTGGGCACCAAAGGAAGTTGCAGGGAACCTCATTTTAGTTCTGTTCTGTAACCATTTTAGTGGTGTGGTTTTGGTTTTGTTTTAAACTTAGCAGAATGTGAAGCCCCACAGACTGTTGCTTCTGTCATGGTAGAAAGTGAAGAAGGATTTGAGGGGAGGGGTTAAGGAAAGCAAGTCTCCTGCTCCTTTTGCTGCCCACACTGTGGCCGACCTAGGCCAAGCGGACCTGATGTTGAAGCTAGACACCTCTGCAGCAGCCGCTCTCTGTTCTGGACTTTGTTTCCAGAGAAGTGACATCTGGAGGACAGCAAATTTGGTTCTCTCCAGGAGTCTGTGCACATTTCTGTCACTTACCAGCTCCTTGGTCCTTGGCCCTGACAGATCCCTGAGAGAGTCCTATCTATCCCATTCCTTTCCCTGTATCCTACCACATGCTCCCTGTCTTCCTTCTCATGACTGGGGCAACATGAACAGTTTATGCTGGTGTCCTGAATATAAGCAATTTCAGTTCGAGTTTGACCCAAAGTTTTGCTATTGGAAGTGGGCATAATTTGGCATATAGAGCTGGGAGATAGGAAGGAGAAGAGACTTCTAGATTGCACAGCTGCAGTCCTGAGCCTGCCTGTGCAGAGGGGAGAAGAGGAAGGAGCCAGCTGGACAAAGCAGATGGCTTTTCTGGAATCACACATTGATTTCCATCAACTGAGCAAAGCCAAGTATCTGTTCAGGGTATTCTGGAAGAGGTGCCATTCTTGTTACTGCATGCTATGTTGAGGTGACCCTTAATCTCCCAGTAGTTGTATGGCATTAGACCCCAAAGGGAGCCATGTGGTAGAGCTGGGCTGTGATGTGAACACTAGCCGGGCTGTGATGTGAACACTATCCCTCTTTCTTTATCCAGTCCCATCCCACTGCTGCTCAGTTTACTTTGTGGTGGACATCTCGTTCTGATGTGTTCATTACAGGCAAACTGACTCTCGGTCTTGAGAGACGGTTCAGGACTCACCTGTGAAAAAGGATTTGTTTGTTTAAATGTATTGTGACTTTGGTGCCTTTGAGGCATGGATACCACAGATGCATGCAGATAAAGTTTATGCTCTTGTGCTTATTCTTTAAGTAGTCATCCCTTGCTCTTCAAGATGTTTTGGGCATTCTCCCGGTCTGCACTGACCTGTAACTTGTGTCCATTCTGCTTCCAGTTGACACTGACTATCGTGCGGCAGACGGGGGGGCTGGGCATCAGCATCGCAGGGGGCAAGGGCTCCACCCCCTATAAGGGTGATGATGAGGTAAGACTCTGGACTGTATAATTACTGAAGCACCCACTCTCAGGGACTAGTTCTCTGTAGCTGGAGGTTGGATGTCCATATGTATCAGCTTTGTGGCTGGGCTGGGCTTTCAGAGCAAGGTGGGAGCAGCCCTGGACCCACCCCGGAGCAGGAAGCCGGCAGGGCTGAGCAGGCTCTTGCCTCGGTAGCACAACTTGTTGTACCTCCTGCTACTGGCTGCAGAGAGCAGCAACGAGGACAGCTGCTTCTTTCCCATCTGTGTCCTGATCTACAGGACTCACAAGGCAAAGAGTCTTCCACACGTATGGTGGCACCAGCTGCATCATGTTCTTGTCCCACTGGAAAAGGATTAAAGTGTCATTGTCTTTTCCCCTTTGTCACCTGGGGGGTAGCCCTGCAATGGGATTTCTTTCCCCTTTCTTCCAACTCCTGAATGGGGTGATGTGGCTGTCCTGTCCCCACATCCAGGGTACGGGATTGGCAGGGGATTTCCCCTTTCCCTTAAGTTGAATGGGGTGGAGTGGTCTCTCTACACTTCAGAGGCTTGAGGCTTGAGAGGCTCCACCTCTTCTAACAAGTAGTTTTGTTTCCAGGGCATCTTTATTTCCCGCGTGTCGGAAGAGGGTCCTGCAGCTCGTGCAGGCATTCGTGTTGGGGACAAGCTTCTGGAGGTAAGAACCTAGCTGCTGTGAAGTGAATGCTTCTAATGACTTGAGAGTGGAGGGAGAAGTATGGTTTGGTATTTATTTGTATTGTCCTAGTTTGTAGGCCAAATTAAGCATCAAGAGCTGTTCAAGAGCAAAACAAAATTCTCCTGGCTCAAAGAGTTAGTTGTTTAATTAACATTACTCTTAATCTTTTGCTGCTTTATAAGGACAGAAATTGCTCCTCCGTTCGCTTTCCCCCAACTCTGAAGTGTTGTGTAACCTAGGTGGGAAGACATACTCAGCAGTGTGTGCCCATGTCCCCAGCAGGCTGACCAGCCAGCTTCTACAGATCTGCTTTCCTGTGTGGGCCAAAAGCGGACCTTGTAAGATAACTGCTTAACCAGGGAGCCAGCCATATGCTGCACTTGCCTGTCTTCAAATGATTTAAAAATGTGATTAGTCATACGGGATTGAGATGCACTTGAGGAAGGATTAATTGCATTATGGAGGGAATAGATGTCACTACAGTGCTGGACAAAGATCAGAGGAATAAGTGGTCTGTGTTTGGGCCACTGGCCTGTGTTTGTGCAGTCTGGTGTGATGTCTCTAGGTATCTCATGCACTTGCACTCTCTGCAGCCTACGTATCAGCAGTGGAGGCCTGGGCATTTGCCTGAGTAGATGTTCCAGTCTTTCTCACCACTTACTTGGCATTGACCATGGTAGAAGTCAAAGTGCTATATGGTTCTGTAATTAGAAGTTTTTATATTGCTTCATGAGAAAAACCTGGTTCTGGAGTTTCAGGAGTTACCTTGTTCACTTCTGCAGTTATCATAAGATTGTTTTGATAATTCCACGAAGTTTAAGTCCAAAAAGGAATATATACTTGATCTAGCCTGGTCTCTCGTATGTTTTAGGGCCTTAAGTGTCACTGAGCGTCCTTGTGCTGCATGCATCATACTGCATTTTGCTGCAGAATTACTTCTAAAAGGGAGTCAGCTCTTGAAGATTTCAAGAGATGAACGATTGTTCCCTTTCCTAACAGTTAAATTCATGGTACCCTCCTATTTCATATCAAGTAGATCCCTCTTCAGTTACAACTTTGGGAAAAGACTATGGGGTTTTTTTATTTCTGATTTACTTCCCATGATGCCCATTCATCTGTGCCTCCTGCAAAAGTGGATGTACCCTCACAACACAACTCGGAAAGTTGTCACGTTCCTTCTAAAAGGCTGTGTTATGTCCACAAGTAAGACATGGCCGAGGCACGTCAGACTTGGGTTCCGTTCTCGTTGGCTATGAATTGAGGAATACTTTACCCCCTAGAGCAGAGCTACAGAGCGTTGCTCAGTAATGAAGGCCATGGTGGAAAGAAACCCTAAATACTGTGAAGTGGAGGAAATAGATTTGAACATCTAGTTTTCAGGCTGAGTGCCAGACAATCTTTCCTGTAAGTGTGTGTTAATATGAAATGAGGTAGCTGCTATGAAAAGATTCTTCAGCTTCATGGGCCCCCACTTTGCGTTTCCTCAGTCTTCTGATGCGGCAGGCCTTTTTTTCTGAAATCAGGAAAGCAAGAGTGGGGGGAATCAGGTTGTTTCCCTGAGAGCTGGAGATCCTGGTGTCCTCCCTGCAAGTGCTTTACTAGTTTTGCATGGAGAGGAAGGAAATGGGTGTTTTGAGGTATGAGAAGGTCGATGTCCTTCTTGAAGGTGAACAAGAAGTTGTGTTGACCTGAGTTGTACTGAGATGTGTTAGGGGAGGTAGTTCTGGGGGAGTGGTCGTCTGTCTGGGAGTTTGTTGCCTGCAGGGATGATACACGTGATAGGGAAGTTGGAGCTCCCTGGGGGGGGAGAATTCCTCTGAAAGGGCCCTCGCCGTGCTTGGCAGGGCTGCCCTGGCCTGGGCCAGGCAGCATGTGTTGTGGGAGCCTCCCGTGCTGTGCGAGCGTAGGGAAGGTCCCTTGCGGGCAGCCGGTGAGGCCTCGGTACCCTGTGGGAACAAGGTGTCGATCCAGCTCTGCAGGGGATGAGCTGTGCTTCTGCTGGGCAGCAGCTGCCAAGGCTGGAGCCGTCTGTGCAGCTGCTGGAGGAGCTCCCCACAGAGGTAAGGGTTGTGCCTGGCTCTGCCCCCAGGTGAATGGCGTGTCCCTGCACTGTGCCGAGCATCATGTGGCAGTGGAAGCTCTGCGTGGATCGGGAAGCTCCGTCTCCATGACAGTTCTGCGGGAGCGGATGGTGGAGCCGGAGAACGCCATCACTGTCACGCCGCTGCGCCCTGAGGATGACTACAGCCCTCGTGAGAGGCGAGGTGGTCTACGCTTCCCAGAGCGACCCGAGGGGGCACCTCCCACAGAGAGATATTCCACCTGCCTTATGCGCAATGAGAAGGGCCTGGGCTTCAGCATTGCTGGTGGCAAAGGTTCCACACCCTACCGGGCCGGTGACACGGTCAGTAATGATTCCCTGGGAAGGAAGGTGCTTGATCCCTGAGTCTCGCCGCTACTTGTGGGAGCAGCACGGGGTCTTCCTCACCCACGGGCACGCAGCAGTGCAGCACGGCCCTGGGCTGGTGGGCCAGGCGGGCTCTGAGAGCCAGAATCTGCTCTTAAGTCGGGGAAGGAGAGAAGTTCAGAAGGAGGTGGGGCTGGGGCTCACAATCCCTGCCAGTGACATTTAATCTTGCTGCTGTCCTCTTGACATATATTCTGGGCTCTCGGCCACATGAAGGCTTTGCAGGTGGCTCTAGGAGCAGAAGAGGGTTTGTGTGGAGTGAGGAACAAATGGGAAGTGCCAGGGCAGGGGAGGGGTCTGTGAAGGGGAAAGGGCTGAGACCTGCCTGGTGTCCAGGAACGATTCTGGAAAGCCAAGCCGTGGTGAGGGGAATCATAGGCTGCTCTGACCCTTCTGACTGTGTTTCAGGGGATCTTTATCTCACGGATTGCAGAGGGTGGTGCAGCCCATCGGGACGGGATCCTGCACGTAGGAGATCGGGTCATCTCGGTGAGTGTGGGTGTGCGGGGAAGGGGACTCAGCTCCCTGCCTTCATACAGGGGCTGTTTTTCTGTCATTGAAGCTGGATTTTGGGGGTCCCTTTTTCAGCTCCTGAGCCTTCTGGGAGAGCATTTAATCTTGGTAGTTCTACCCCTGCCTGTGGCTGGTGGTGGGTGCAGTTAATGCTTCCCCTTCTCCCAAGTGCTGCGTGTGAGCGCTTCCCCACAGGAACAGCATGCGGCAGCCCGGGCTGTGCTGGAGAGAGATGATACGGCAGCGCTGCCCTAGCGTGGTGTCCCTCCAGAGCCTTGTAGGACAGCCTCGGAGGGCTCTGCCGCAGCACGGCGCGTGGAGGGCAGCCCTTTGGGGCACAGCTGACCAGCTCCCTGCAGAGAGCCTGGTGGCAGGGGTCAGTGTAGGCTGAAGCAGAGGGAGGCTGCTTGAGGGTGCTGTGGACCTGGGCAGGGCATACTGCAGTGCTTCCCCCTGCTTCCATTTGAAACTCTGGCCCCAGTTTCCCTTCCTGTTTGTGCCAGTGGTATGGATCTCACTGCTGCCTCTAACCTCGAGTCTCTCTGCCTAATGTGTCACTTGCTCCCCCTCCTGCGGGGAGAATCTGCTGAGTCTCCTGACCCTCTTCCCAAGCTCGCATGCCGCCTCCGAGTGAAAGCTCCTGCATCCTGGTGCTGGTGGTGGGTTTCTGATCCAGCTGTTGTGGTAAGAGCACGTGTTACCACAGAGCTGGCGTGAGTAAACACTGATACAGCCTTGTCAGTGCTGGCTTCTGTCTGCTCTATCCCTAGGCTGGGGGCTGTGCTGTATTTGCTCTGGCACAAAATTTTAGTGACGCTGTGGCCCAGGTCTGACGTTCGTAGCTTGGCAGGAGACTTGAACTGGTACAGCGTCTCCCCCTCCTTGCTAGTGCTCCCCCCTCCTCCCAAAATCAAGCCCCGATTGTTGTGAGATAGGCTAAATTATTTTGGTTTTGCTCTTCTTTTGATGCTCCACTGGTACGGAGGCATGACTGAGAGGCGTAATTGCAGGCACACAACCTATCGTGTGGTGTTGATTTGCTCTACCTGTGGCGAGAAGGAAACACAGGATCTCAGAATAGAGTCGAAAGTCAAACCTGTCTCCACCCCCCATTAGCAGCTCTATTTATGTCTGTGGGCAGCTTCATAGGAAAAGCAGATCTAATTCCCTAGTAATAGCTTGCAGTGTCTTCAGACAGCAATGTATGGGCTCAGGGCTTACAGAACTCAAGGCCTTGTTAGATTTTAATGTGGATGAAGGCCTTGCTGTCATTAGTCCTCTGACGCACCCCGCCGCAACGATGAGTGTGGTGTTATTGCATAGGTAGGGAATACATCTGCTTGAGAGCGTGGTCCTCTGCTCTTAAGGATGTTACCTGTGCTGAAGTGTGTGTAGTCATAAAAGGTTTGGCGTTGAGCATCAGCTGCAGCTCAAATCTTGTGCTCAGTTATGATGAAAGCAGGAACAAAGTATTATCTTCCAGGAGAGCACCTACCTAGTCTGGACTGTTCACATAACTGCTGTGCCTTCCAGCACGTGGCTGGCTGTCGCTTCTCCAGCAGCCATGCCTCCTGGCAGCAGTTGCCATTCTGCCTTTCCTGCTTGTGGCGCTCACTGCTAAGTATAATATCCACTTAGTGGTAGCGTTACATCCTGAGGCCTCTCATACCTCCTTGGTGATGTTTGTCCTCGAGAATATCTGCTCGCTGTAAGAGATGCGTGAGCAGCTGTGTGAGTTTTGCTCCATCTCTGGTGAAATCTGGTGCTAGGTTAGAGCTGTGGGGCTGCCCCGGCCCAGCGATACTGGATGTTCAGAGAGTGTCTGTTCACTTCAGAGCTGTGCCCGCATAGCATCGCGTAAATTCCCTGCTTACCACAACTCTTTTGAAGCAGTGGTTGCCCATTGTTATTGGAAAGCTTTTCAGGATGTGATGATTCCTGGGATGTGCAGTACCGGTTGCATGTGTTCCCCTGTATCTGCATGGCAAAAGCAGGAGTGCCCTCGTTAGGATACAGGTGGTTTTGTAGGTCCAGCAGGCAGAAGCCCATTTCCAAAGCCATAGTCTCCTAGTCATGCCTCAGTTCTCACTTTGCCAAAGAACTTTTGTTTTCTTAGGAAAAGAAATACAGCACAGCTTCCTACTCTTCCCCTGTGCTCTAAATCGTCCTGGACTTCTCTGCAGGGGAAGGACTGCGATAGCTCCTTTTACTTTCTTGAGGGAGCTTTGAGTACATGGGTTGAAGAGCCCAGCCTAGATCTCTCTTTAAAGTTAACACCCCACAAAACTCACCAATGATTGACTACTAACTCTCCAGCTTTCCCCATATTCTGGCGTGTCTTGAGAGTCATCAGAGGCATCTTGAGAGTCATTTTGGTAGTGGGGCAGGGAGCTGCAAGGGGGGAATGTTGGAGAGTTTGAATCCTGGGATGGGAATCTAGCAGGGAGGGTGCAGGATTGGGAGCAGTGGCTAAGGGCAGCTAGTTCTGGGATAGGACTGGAGAAAAGTGATTCTGGGGAAGATTTAGGATAGTAGTAGCACCAGGTGATGCATGGGGATCCTAATGAGAGCAGTCTGATCACTAAGAAATTTGCCAGAATAATATAATTCCCTGGCACACAGAAAAAATGTGTGGAGCTGGGAAAGGACAGATGACCCTCCTTCCCTTCCTCTGGGCACTTAGATAGTTGAAGTGCACTTGGTTGGCCTTGTTCTCTTGCTAAGCAGAGACGTAGCAATAAAGGCCACTGAACACTGGCTATCCAAAAGCTGGGAAGGCGTTATGATTGCCAGGTAATGGAGAAGTTAATGAGTAAAGTGCCATCAAGGGCTGTTACATGTGATACACCTCTGACTCGGGGAGTTCCTGTGTCCCTGTTTGCTAGTCTGGGGAAGTACCACTGTATGCTTTTGGTCTGACCAAGTCTGACCATTCTCATCTTCTTGTCAGTGGCAGAAAAATAACAAGAGGGGAATGCATGAAGTCAGCAGTGCATCCTGCTATGGCAGGTCTGTCTGTGGAGTATGTTGGGCCTTGATTTGGTGATAAGAACCTAAGGGCCAAGTCTCTTCTGCATGTTATCTTTGTTAAAACTTGGTGTATCTGACCCAAGGGGTTGCTCCCTTCCCAGTCCACTAGACACAAGGCTGCTGCTTTTGCCCGTTCCTAGGCCCAGCCATCAGGAAGGCTAAATGTGGTTTCCAAAGATGAAACACACAGCAGACATGGCTGGCCATAGATTTACACAGACAAAAAGTGGGGGGCAGTACCTTTACAGATGCACACATAAATACAAACAGTCCTCACAGGGCATGAACAACACAGACAACTTAACCCTGTTCCTACCCTCTGGATAATCAGGTTTAAGGTTTGCTAGTGGAACAGGCACATATACTCCCTCACTCAACTCACATAAATATTCATGTTTGGAGGTCTCTTCAGTCTCTGGCCCAAGCATCAAGTTCTTCAGGGCTCTTTGGTCAGACCTGAGCCTTTTATCCAGTTTCTGGGCCAGCTGTTGGGTCTTTCCACATTTTGGATTCCTACTTGCTGGCTAGTCCAACTTGAATTTTACTAGTAGATCTTGCACACATACCCAGAATAGACAGCAAACTCGCACAGTGAATACAAACAGAGTTTGATAAAAAGATGGAGCAGACTGTGGTGATCAGGCAGAGGGCTTGGCCGGACAAGCATACTGACCAGCAGCCTGCTTGCTTGTGATCGGCCTCTTTTATTTTCCACCCTCTCCATTTTCTCATGCTTGTTCCTTCCCTCTCCTCCTTGGTAACTGGTCTTTCCACCTGTGATCCTTCTGTTAAACATCCCATAATAAGTTTTGCACATTCCCACAATCCCCCTTAAAACTTCCTGTAGCAAGTTTGCTCTTTCCTGTGAGACCCGTTCTGATAACCCATGATAATCTTGATTTCCTCTGCATATTGATTACCAAGCTTTTGGTTGTACTTCTTTAGTGTTACCATTTGAGCGATTCCTTTAATGATCCATCCATGAGTGTCTTGAGTCTTGAATCTGTTACCTGCATTTTGTTAGGGTTTGTGCACCTGTGATTTATTCTCTTTCCTGCGTGTTGCCTTGTCTCTTACGCGTAGCAGCTGTTACCCGGGTACCTTTACATCCTTCCTCTTCCTGCACGCATGTGTAGGCTGGCATGCCTTCACATCCTTCTCTTCATCCTCTGTGGTTGGTGCCAAAGGTGTCCCCTTGGGGACAGTCCTCTGAGTAGAGGAGATGCTGTGGGGCTGAGAGTTTCCTGTTTGTGTCCAATGCAGCATAGGGCTGTCTCGCCTGTCTGCTTCCATGTCGTAAGGGGAGTAGCACACTTGACTGTGGATGGGATGGGGCAGGTCAGGTGGGGGGGGGAGTGGTGTTTAGGGAGGTTCTGGACAAAACCTTGTCAGACTGTGTGCAGTCAGCTTTGTCCAGAAACTGCTTTCCTGGAAGGAGCTGGGGAGTAACTGTAATATTTCTAGGAATCAGACGGTGGGGAATTGGGCTACAAAATCCAGTTGCTGTGGCTATTACAAAGTCACATTTTTATTTCATAAGCTGGTCAAACACCATCTTAACAGCTGTTATTTTTGTGTCCTCGTCGTTCATTTTGGAAAGCTTTTCCAGAACCTAAGGACTAGAAACCTTTTAATTTTCAGCTTCAACTTTCTTGTGGCAAGTTTTGTCCTTTTGGCAGTGTTCTTCTAGCTTAGCTCTCCTCTCAGTATTCTGTCCCTCATACATTCATGGAGAACAGTCACATCCTTTCTGGTCCTTTGCATTTCTAGGCAAGCTGTTTTAAATGTTAATTTTGTAGGAAAGGCTCTCTGTTCCCCTGCCTGTCATAGCAGCATTTCTCTGCACATCTTGTTAACTTAGGTTAGATAATTTTGTGTGTGTGAGGGATGAGAATAGTACAGGGTTTTTCAGATGAGTTCTCTTCAGTGCTTTGTATGAATGACATTGATGCTTCCCTGTATGTACTGGAAGTGCCTCTTTGTCTGAAGCATTGTATCTTTCAATGATATCACAAGATTGACTGTAGTTGTATTCTTGAAATTATTTGGCATAGCATATTGGATAATATTTTCTTGTCCGAAAGAATTCTAGTTCTCCTTTTGTGTTGGCCAGTCAGCCAGTGTGGACGAGCAGAATCTCTTTCTTAGTGTTTCCGAGTCTTTTTATACCTGGGGTACAGTTTTTATGGCTTAAAACTGACATCTTCCCCAGACTGCCATGCCCTTGCCCAGCATGAGCGGACTGCAGCCCAGTGGCCAGTGACGGGTCCCATCACACATCAGATCATGCTCTTCAGTGCCTGTGCCTGGGCTTTGAGAGTGGTTGATAAGGGCAAATGGCCTAGTGCAAAGGCAGCTGATGCTATGGCACATTAGCGTGCCGTGGTGTCACTTCTGGGAATCGCTGTTTTGTCTTCTTCCCATATTGAGATCTTTGGATCCGTTTCTTTAATGCAACCTCTTGGGCTTCTTTTGTTGTGACCCAGTAGGAAAGCTGGAATGCAAAGCCAAGGAGTGACAGGTACTCTCCTGGTAATGAGTGAGCCACACCATAGTCCGGGCAGTGGCTACGTTTGTAGTGCTTCAGGAGGTGGAGCATCATCCTTGATCCTCGTGGTCCCCTGGAGCGTCACTGATGCTGTTAGGACTTGGAGGTGTACAGGGAAGGTGGGAAAGGGGCTGGTAAGCTGTCTAGAAAGAGGATTGTGGTCAGGTGGGAATGAGCAGGTACCTGTGTCCCTTTGTCAGATAGGAAGGAGTGGGGTAAGTTACAAAGTGCTTTGGGGAAACAGGCTTTTGAGAAGGGGCAGTGTTCCAGCAGAATGGGGTCCCTTAGGGTGCTTGGCTAAGTGCTTAAAGCGACAGGGTGTACTCGGGTGATGGTCTGACACTGAGTTTGCGGGTTGTTCTAGATCAATGGGGTAGACATGACAGAAGCCAGGCATGATCAGGCAGTAGCGCTGCTTACCGCATCCTCCCCCACCATCGTGCTGCTGGTAGAGAGAGAGGGTGCAGAGCAGCTCAGCGAGGGAGACTCGCCAGGCGTGCCACGAGTGCGCATGCACTCCCCACCACCGCCTCCCAGCCATGGGGAGAGCCCACCAGAGGAGACGCCTTCGCTGCAAAGGAACCATCTGTCTAAAGGCCTGGAGGATCAATATCCCATTGAGGTGAGTGAGTCTGCTGGAATATGGGATAGTGTAATCTTGGGTGGTTTTAATTTGAAAAATTGGTAGCCTGATGAGGGCTGGCCCACTGTGTTATTGGGTCATTGAGAAGTAACAGGGAACCCCCTTGTCCTGTGGGTGCTTACCTTCTGCTCATGCAAAACATCCCCGACTCCATGTTTTCCAGTGTTTGTGGTCCTTATGTGATATCCCTTATTCCCTTTGACTCTGCTTCTTTTTCCCTCAAGGAAATTCACCTTGTAAAAGCAGGTGGTCCCCTGGGACTCAGCATCGTAGGAGGCAGTGACCATTCAAGCCATCCATTTGGGATTCATGAACCAGGTGTCTTCATTTCAAAGGTAGAGTCCTGTGTGAGCAGCCTAGCAGTGGACATTCCTGAGCTGTTTAATTATTGAGATTAAGATGAAGGATTTTGATGCAGGAGTCGGAGAAGTACAGTATAGATTTAAAAAAAAAAAAAAAAAAAAAAAAAAAAGAGATGGGGTATACTAGACATACTGCTGCTGTTGTAGAAATGTAAATGGCACGTAAAAGCCTGCAAACCTGTATAATTCATGCTGAACTGTTTGGGGAGACTTAGCTTTTGAAATTGCTGAGCTTATGTTAGCTTTTAATGTATCCTGGAAAGATGCAGGCATTTTGGAAAACCAGTCATTACTCAGAAAGTGTTAGTGGGATGAATGTGTAACTGCAAGGAAAAACAGAAGTGCTCTTTTGTGTTCAGGCCAGTGTCCTTTGACCAGACATTCTCTTTCCAGTGGTGTCATTAGGGGATGCCATTTAGAGACAGCACACAAGCCACCCACTTGCTGCAGCTCATTTCCTTCGCAGTACAGCACATCCACGCTCATTGGATTAGGGATGTTAGAGAGGACATCCCTGCCCAGCCCTTTCTGCATCCATATGTCTCCTGTCCCTTGGACATGCTGAATCTGTCTCCTCTAACGCCCATGGCTGCAAGTCCCAGAATATCATTACCTGTCACCTGAATGAAGCACTCTTCGATCTGCTCTAAACCAGTGTCCCACTGGTTACACTGAGTGCTCCTCCATTCTTGTACTGCCAGTTTGGTAAACAGAAGTCCAGTATTCAGCTTATTGACCACCTTCAGTGTTGTAAACCTCATTCATTCTCCTTCCTCAGCTTTCTTTCCAAACTCAAGAGTTGTGGCCTTCATTTCTCCTTGCAAAGTGCTGCTCCATCCCCTCATTATTTTAGTTGCCTTTCTCTGGACCTTCTCTAACCCCGCTATGTCCTTCTCAAGACGTGGCATCACAGGATTATTCAAGTTGGAAGGGACTTGCAGAGGTGATTTGATCTCACTGAAAGCCCAGGGCCAGCCTAGATCAGCTTGCTGAGGACATTGTCTAGCCAAGTTCTGAGCATCGCCAAAGATGGAGATCTCAGCCTCTCTGGGCTCCTCTTCCAACATTTAACTACTATTATGGTGAACATTTTCATCCTAATATCTAGTCAGAATTTTCCTAGTTCCAACTTGGATCCCTTGCCTCTCCGTATACCACTGTGTACCTTTGAGAAGAGCCTGGCCTGTGTTCTCTCTGTGCCACTGTGTTAGGTAGTTGAAGGCAGCAGCAACATCCCCTTTAGCTTTCTGTTCTCAAGAATGCAAAACCCCAGGTCTCTCTGCCTCTCTTTGTACAATGTATTCTCTATATCCCTGTTAATCTTCTCGGCCCTCTGCTGCACTCATCCCAGTTTATCGGTGTCTGTTTTGTACTCCAGATGCAGCACCACAAGCACTGATTAGTGGGGAACGATGACTTCCCTCAACTTGCTGGTTATACCCTCCACTGTTGCAAGGGCACGCTGCTGACTTGGCTTTCACAGTATGCTGGATCCAAGCCTCTGGCCAGCTACAAGCCTCCTGAAACAGCAAGTCTGTTTGACAGAGGTGTGCCTCTGCCCCTTGCAGAAGTGGTTTCCAGGAGGTTTCACCTGACACTTCTGTTGGTGCTGACACGTGGTTCATTCTGGGATGGCTTCAGTGCCTCCTTTTGTGTAGTTTGTTTCTCTTCATCTGCTACAAGGCACTATACCTATTTTTTAGATGCGTGTCAGTAGAGAAGAAGGACTCTTCCCTCTGTTGCCAGCAATCTCAAACCCCTGGCCTTCCCCAGCTTGGGAGCCTCTGCTATTTGTTTAAGCATAGCCCCTAGCTTACCCTTTTTCCATACAACATGGGATTTGGACTCCTCTCTCTGCAGGTTTTCTGCAAAGAGCCTGTTGCTCTCCTGTTCATTTTCACTGATGTTATGCAGTATGCTCGTCCCATCCTGTAGCTTCTTCACCTGCCAGCTCGACAGAGCACACCTTCCACTGGTGAGGCCACCACCAGCCTCAGGGACAGGTCCCAGGCACTCCCTGTAGCCCAAGACCCTGGTAGCTGTACCCTTCCTCCAGAGTGCCAGGGATACTCAGCTGGTGCTGGGGACCTTACCCCTATCACCATCATCCTTGCACGGTCCTTGGCACAGTTTCTGGGTCCCCTTCTGCTCTGCCTTTTCGGGAGCAGAGAACTGAATGGTCCTGGAGATGGGGGTGAGTCTGTCTGTCTTGTTTTCAGTACCTGTTCTGATGATGCCCAAAATTTTGTTGGCTGTTTTTTTTTTTTTCTTTTTTGTCTCTTCCTGCATGTGGAGCCCATGATTTCAGAGAACATGCAACAATGTCTCTAGGAACTTCCCTGAGTCACTGTTCCTGAGTTCAGTGTTGTGTGTGCATGGCTTAAGGTGTGTTTTCCATAGACTCGCTGCCTGTGCTGAAGCTCGTGCCATGTCTTTTTGTCCAGTTTTCTTGACTGTTTCTGAAGTTCCCCGCCACCAGGGTGGTATCTGGCTGCTCAAAACAGCACAGTATCATTGGCAGACCGGGAGATTTCGCTGTTCACTGCCTTTTTCAGGTCACAGATGGACATGCTGAATAACACCAGTCCTGCACCAATCCTTTGGGAACCCCACCAGTGAATCTTTTGTGTCCTGAGCAGCAGCTGTCCGGCCTGCCCTTTGTTTCCTCTCTTGTAACCAGCTTTCAGTCCATTAAGATGGCCTTTCCTCCCATCCAGTGGACACAGCTTCTCTGTAATAGCCTTTAGGTTCAGACCTTGTCAAGGCCATTTGGAAATCCAGAAGTTATGTCTACCAGATTCCTTCCTTCATGTGTTCATTGTTTCTGTCACAGTGCTTCAGTGGGTCAGTGAGGCAGGATTTGCTTTTACCAAAGCCAAACTAACTCTTTCCCAACAAACACTGCTTATCCACATGCTCACAGATTGTACTCTTTCTTTGCTGACTCTGTTGTTTTACCAGGAATAGAAGTTAGGTTTCTCGGATCGTAACTCTGTGGCTCTCAAGATCCCCTCCAAAGCACTTCCTGAGGACTGGAGTTGTACCGACGCTGTCAGTTGTGGTACAGTGGCCATTTGTAATGGTAGATGATACACTTCTGACAACAGCCCTGTATTTTAACATCAGAGTTCCTTCAGTTCTTGTGAGAAAGCTGTCTTCTGGTTACAGTCACAGGCAAAATAATGGAAAAGCTGACACAGGATTGGGTCAGATGAAAATGATAATATGAGAATATAAGAACATACTGAATGACACATTAAAGCAAATCTTCATTCTTTGCCAGTGTTCACAGATATATTACCTCTTGGGGAACTTTGGTTGCAGAGAGAGAAGTCAAACAGGCATCAGAGGATGTTGGAGGATATCCTAGGGACACAATCAGTGTCTCTCCAAGGAGAGATGGAATTCCCTTCTCTACTTGTAATAGTAATGATTCTTTGTAGGTCATTCCCCGTGGACTGGCATCTCGCAGTGGGCTCCGTGTGGGGGACAGGATCCTGGAGGTAAATAGTATTGACCTGCGCCATGCTACCCACCAGGAAGCAGTGAATGCCCTGCTCTCCAACACCCAGGAGCTGACTATGTTAGTAAGGCGAGATCCGCCACCGCCTGGTATGCAGGTAGGTTCTGAGTAACAACTGGAGGGAATCACACTCTTCTTTATAGAAGGATCACTTTTGAAGGCAATTTCTTCTCTAGCTGGAAGTCTGGGACTAGCATACAACCAAACTTCTGGTTGAAATTTCCTTCTCTTGTGGCAGAATCCAATCTTCGTAAGTATATGTTCAGTTGAGGACTGTGGAGGGTCTCTTGCCATGCCCATGGTGATACTGTGATCAGAGAATGATGAGATTTTGTGAAGACCAGACCTGAACAGGAGGCAGAAATACAGAAAAGGGCAGAGCCTCATCAAAAGGAATAAACTGTGCCAAATGAGTGAAAGGTCTAATTCAGGTCCTTTTCCGGGTATTCAGAATATAGCCAGCTACTAGGAGTGTTTCCTCAACAATTCCAGTCTGAACTTGACCCAGAAACAAGGAGACCTTTTCTGTGTTTACAGGAAATATGCATTGAAAAGGCTCCGGGAGAAAAGCTGGGCATCAGCATCCGGGGTGGAGCAAAAGGTCATGCTGGAAATCCTTTTGATCCCACTGATGAAGGCATCTTCATTTCTAAGGTACCAGACCACTAACTCTGCAACTTGGTTGCATGCAAGGACTGCTAGGGAAAAGGGTGATCCCTGTGGAATTTTTGATATGTTCTCTCCACTTTTCACTGGCTACATCAATTCTCCTGGAGTATTCTCCATCCACTGAAAGAGGCGCATCTGTTTCCTTTCATATTTCTTCCTCTACAACAGCTACAAAATTTCTTCTTCCATTTCCTATGTTTGCTTTTTTGTCTTGTGTTTCTTCTCTTGCTTTTTTTCCTATAACATGAACCCATGCATCTTCCCTTTTACCCTCCATTCCTATTGCTTCCCCCAAGTGTTTGTGGCCTTCCTGCCCACTCAAACATGCATGCTCTTTCCTCCTTTCATCGAAAGCTTTATGAGTTGCTCACCTTTCCTCCTGTGCCATGCACTGTGTGTGTAAGTTTGTTCCCTTTCCTTTGTAAATGACTGCCTGTGTGCATACTTACTTGTCATGTCACTTTTCTGCAAGAAGTAATGCATTTTTTCTTTTGAACAACATACTGTGTATAAGCTTATGCTCCTCCCAACCCTTACCAGAAAGTATTACCTCTTCTTTCTTGCTGGCAGCAGAGCATAGTGATAAGTGGTGTAATTTTTGGTCTTGCTGCTTACAAAAGGGGGACTCTGGACGTTCACATTAGTGTCACCTCTTTAGCTGGTGTGGCAGGGTAGCAACTCTGCTCTAGCTCTAGAGGTCTTAATAATCCTTGCTGGATGGTGGACACTCCATAATTGCCAGTTAACCCTTTCTAATAATTGACTACTTTCAAAGAAAGGGAATACTCAGCATTTGTTATTATTTGGCTATAACTCCTTTATCTGAGTTTTAAAGTTAAGAGAGTAAATTCACTCTGTCAAAGTAATAGTTTCATGTTCAACTGCAATGTTTGTAATAGCAATAAAAGAAAGCCTAAGATTATTGTAGCCTACAATTGTTTTTAATGATTAGGTTTGTTTTTATCTCCTTTAGTGTTACAGAATTTAGGGGTTTGGAAGGCTTACAGTTTAGCCCCACTGCAGGGTTAGTTTACCCCCCTCCCCTGCTTTTTTTTTTTTTTTTTTAAATAGTTGGTTTAGCCTGTGGAGAACCAAAGCACTGAACTTTTCTGCTCTCCCTTCAACTTGTTACTTCAGCTTGATCTCTCTTACCTTTCCTAACCAGAGTGCTTCTCTTACTTTGTCTGTGTATTTCCAGTAACTGAGAGACAAAGTAGTGCTTTTTGTTCTTCCTCCTCTTTGGATGTCTGATTACTGCCTTCCTTCTCCTTAGTTTTTCTTAATTTGCGTTTCCATTGAGTCCCTTAATTGTCTTTTTTCTTTTTTTTTTTTTTTTGTTGTAAGTTGTAATCTGGTTCTTCTTTTTTAAAACCTTCTTGATGAAGTGTTACAAGTTGAATACTATGAGAAGTATAAATTATATCTACAATTTGAAATTCATGATCTGTCTCAGTGGGGATAGCTCAGAGTCCCTCAGTGACATATCAATAGTACAGATGACAGTTGGCATTAAAGACATTTTTTCTACATTAACTTCACCTCCTCCCATTATTTCTGGGTGTTCTACTATCACACTTATGCATTTGCTCTCCCTGGAAGAGAAATTGTGAGTACTCGGTCTTTTTCCATTCAGCTGCATGTGACCACTTTTGTGCATGCACACGCACTCACACACACTTCAATGTTTTCCTTTACAGCCCTGAAGAAATTATGTGTAGGCATGCATGACTGCTTTCCCTCCCCACAAACTTAAAAAAAAAAAAAAAAAAAAAAAGCATGCAGCATTTTTTCTCCTCTTTTTACAGGTACTTTATTAAACATATATCTGTTGGTTTTTGTCCAAAACAGCTCTCATAAATCAAATAAACACCCATGCCTTTGGTTTGTTTTGGGGTTTTTTGCCTCTCTGATCCCAGTAATATGTAGTGTGCAGTAGTCCTTTCTTTCTTTCCTTCCTCTGATGTTAGTTGTTCCTCCATTCTACTTTGACCACCAGTCATGCATGTCCTTGCGTTTCCCCCACCCAGCAACCAACTTTGCGTGCCCTTGTGCTCTCCTTATTCTCTTGTCATAGATCTACAGGCTTTGCTTGAGATCCCTGACACCGATGTATTCTTTCTGCGAAGCCCTTGTGTAGCACTGGTCATAATTCTCTTTGTAAAGCTTAGTCATGTTTTCTTTGGGTTTGAGAGTGGGCCTTTGAATTGAAGCCATCCATTTGTCTTTGGTGTTCCCAGTGAGGTTTGTCTGTATACCAAATGTACCAAGGTCTTCATCTGATCTAGCTTGACTGTGTGTACATCCCATTTTGTTTCAGGCTTTTTGGTTTCCCATTAGAAAGAGTAATACCCAGTTGGTGATTCTATTCCTTTCCCTAAGGCACTTTTAAGTTGTATCCTGTATTACTGTCTAGTTCCTGATAGTAACTTCTCCTATCACCATTGTTCAATTTTTTCTTGCTTCCCCAGCTTGCATATTTCTCCTGAGCCTCATGTTTGCATGTGTTTAGGTTTTTGGGTTTTTTTTCTTTTCTTTCACTTTGTACCCACAGCAAGTCCTGCAGTCTCTTTTCCCTGTTCCAAAGGGGAAAAAAATTAATAAAACTCCTTGCCTTTACTGCCTTTGTTCTGGTGGCAAAGCATGCGCTTTCATTCTCTCCTTAAACACATATGGATGCGTGCACTCTGTAAGGCAAACTCTGGCTTTCATGTGCCTTATCAATATGCTGCATGTAGGTGCTTCCTCTGGTGACAGCTTGTGTACATGAGGCAAGTATGAGTTCTTGTGACTTGCTGAGGAAAGAAAATAGGAGTTACACGTTATTTCTCTGAAAGAGAGGATGGAAAATGACAGACATGCGTAATTTGTTCCGCCTGTCTCTACCACAAAGACAGTGAAAAGTCTTTATCCCTTGTTTATCCACAAAAATGATCCCTGTGCTTGCATTTTCTGTGTTTCTCCCAACAAAAGATTATTACACTTTCCTTTCTGTGAAGGTAAAACATAAATGTGAGAGCTTTCTTTCTCACCTGCTTCACTGACAAAACAACAGCGGTTTCTTTCCTTGGGACAACACATTTCAAATACAGATTCTTTTTATCTCCCATAAAAGATTTCTTCCACGCCCGTTTCCTCTACCAAACTGTATATGTTCTTCCTTTTCTACCCTCTCCGTAAGTATATATAAGTACTTCCAGACGCTTTCCCTGACGTGTAGCTGTAGCCTTCTCTGTCTCCTTTGTATGCTGTCCTCTCTCATTCCTTCTTCCTGATGGTCCCCATGCTCTCTAATCTTCTTTTACCTCCTTAGGTGATGTCTTGATTCCCCCCCGTTTGTTATAGGTGAGCTCCTCTGGGGCTGCAGCCCGGGATGGCCGTCTGAAGGTGGGGATGCGGATCCTGGAGGTGAATCACCAGAGTTTGCTGGGAATGACGCATACAGAAGCAGTACAGATACTCCGAAGTGTGGGTGATGCGCTCCTTGTGCTAGTGTGCGATGGCTTTGATCCCAAGGCTGCAGCTGCCATTGAGGTAAGAACTGAAGTGCAGGGTGCCCTCATAGTGACCAGTACCACAAGGATCTCACCTCTTTCTTCACAGAAGATTGTTGGATTTTTCCAGCCTTTTGCTGTAGATTTTTTTTTTTGAGGTCCCAGATTTCAAAGTCTGGTCTCCTGCTATATGAACTGGAGGTGGTTGCCAGTTCATAAAAGTAATAGTCTCTAAAGACTGTCACTCTTCTGCTGATTACAGAAGTGTTTCACAATATCACTGCACTGGTTAGAAATGTCGTTTTCGGGCTGATTTTCTCCAGGCTATTTATGCCCATTTTTTTCTTGTGCCAATGTTATTTTTAAAGCAAATTGTCTGTTTATTGGTGTTTGCCTTTCCCCACAGGGAAACACTTAACCATAGCAATCCTGTGCCTTCTCGGCTTTCTTTTTTTCAAGGCTTAACAAGTAAGCTTTTTTAATTCTCCACTAGAATGTGTACCCAATCCCTGGTCACCTTATCCCCTTTCTATACCTGTTTCAATTTAAATTCATCTTTCTTAGACCTCAAGTTCCTTGAGTAATTGACAGCTGAAGTAAGGTTTCAAGTTGTGAAAGAGTTCTGACTTGCCTAGGATCGTCCTGGTACTCTGTATTTGGGAGCCCAGGGTATGGAATTTTTTGTATGGCACACTGTGGGCTTCCACCATGTTTTATTGCCTTTTTGCTTTGTAGATGTCCCCAGGAATTATTGCAAACCCTTTTGCTGCTGGTATTGGGCGCAAGAATAGCCTGGAAAGTATCTCTTCTATTGATCGGGATTTAAGCCCTGAAGAACTGGAGATCCTACAGAAGGTGGGTATTCTGGCTACAACTGAGAGAATGTTGTGGAGTGGAAAAAGTTTCTGAAAATCTCTAGTGTCTCCCTTGGTGCATGGAATCTGCAACATAATGGGTAGTGGATTTCCTTTTTATGGGATCAGCAGGTCCCAGCACTTTCATCAGGAATGCACTAGGATGGGACTCTGAAATCTTCATGAGGTTACAGGTGCTCCAAGTGGGGAGAGAGCACTGGGTGAAGTGGCTCTAACTTTGGTCTCTCCTAGGAGATGGAAATGGTGAGAGAAGCAACTCAGTGGGAGAGAGAAGAAATGGAGAAAGTGGTGAGAGATTTTTCATGTAGCAGAATCTGTTCTTGACAGTGGTTCTGCCAAGCCTGTGAGCCCTAAGGAAAATGCCACAGATTATCTTTACCCAATTGTTAATGCCTTGGGGGGCTTTGGGCTTTCTCTCTTCGTAGTGTACCGCTCAGTTACTCTAGCTGCTTTTTGGCTTTGCCATACCTTCCTATGTACCTCTTTGGTGGTGCTCTTCTGTTTTACAGAGTTCATCTTTGTTACCTGCTGATACTTTCTGGCCAAGTTGCAACTTTGAGAAAAATGGCCTATCAGCTTGGAAGTCCCGCATTTAATCAGTTCTCTCTATACAGCACTCCATGACCTGACAGAGCTTTTATGAGCAAAGATGAGAACACACAGCTCAAAGCTGTCCTGAATTGAAGAAGTGGTGCTGTTAATCAAGCACAAGTTTGTGCTCCTCAGTTTACATGATCATTTTTCTGATTCGTTATGAGAATTTTGTAGTTCTGCCCACTATTTGAGCCTTTCATAGAAACAGATTAGCAGAGTCAAGCCCCTTGGGGACTTGGGTTCTCTAGTTATCCCTCTTAAAACTGTAATTTATTCAGTCAAATTCTTTTGGAAGATGAGGGAAAATTTAATTCTTCAGTATTGTCAGTTAGGAATCTGCTCTCTTGGCAGATAAGTATGTGTACTTATGCAGGTGTTTCTTCAGGTTTCCAATTTAGATATACCTAATATTCCTCTAGGTTCTTTCTGTAGTTGTAATCACTCAGCTTTTTTTACATTGGCTACCCCAGGAGAGTGTAGTTATGTTGGCAATTCTGGATGGAGGTGATCATTGTAATTTAGTTAACACTTGAGATTTTACTTGTTTTGGAAAAAACAGTCAAGGTTTTGAGTAGACAATAGTGCAGACTGTAAGAGGACAGAGCAATGAACAAGAAAATGGCCATATGACCTTTCAGGCATGCAATATATGTAATCATTAAATATACATATCTATATTTCATATTTATATAGAATCATAGAATGCTTTGGGTTGGAAGGGCCCTTCAGAGCCCACCCAGCCCAACCCCTGCAGTGACAGGGACAGCCTTAACCAGAGCACAGTGCTCAGAGCCCCGTCCAACCTGGCCTGGGATGTTTCCAGGGATGGGGCCTCCACCGCCTCTCTGGGCAACCAGTGCCAGTGCTTCCCCATCCTCACTGTAAAAAATGTCTTCCTTATATCCAGTCTAAATCTGTTCTTCTGTAGTTTAAATTCATTACTCCTTGTCCTGTCACAACAGGCTTGCTAAAAAGATTCTCCACATCCTTCCTATAGGCCCCCTTTAAGTACTGGAAGGCTGCAATAAGGTCTCCCTGCAGCCTTCTCTTCTCCAGGCTGAACAACCCCAACTCTCTCAGCCTGTCCCCGGAGCAGAGGTGCTCCAGCCCTGGGATCATTTTTGTGGCCTCCTCTGGCCCCGCTCCAGCAGGTCCATGTCCTTTTTGTGCTGAGGGCCCAGAGCTGGGCACAGGGCCCCAGGTGGGGTCTGCCCAGAGCAGAGCAGAGGGGCAGAATCACCTACCTCGCCCCGATGCCCACACTGCGGG